TTTAAGCACTGGCCTAAAAAATATAGAATTAGTAATATATCTATATAAGTATAACAACCAAGAATGAACTTTTGTTGTAATTTAAGAAAAATATCGATGATGTCATTTTTTTATACATGTCAATTATCTCTTCGTTCGAAATGAATCATAATCGGGGGGAAGAAGGGGACAAGTCAGGAGAATGAGCTTGATATGAAAGCTCACTCAGTAAGCAGTTTGAAGCCCAACTCATGAATTTTTGCCATTGTCGTAACGCTTTTATTAGCTTTTTTTCACTGATTTCCTACTTCAGTTTGTCATATAATGCACATGAATATTGGCTATTGACAGTTTTACCTTTTTATGCCTTTACCTTTAAATACTCAGAATATAAAACAACAACAAGAATACAAAATATAAAACCGTCTATATATGTAAATAATACCAAACTTGAGCAAGTTGATAAAATCGTCTACCTTGAACAGCAATTAAATTGTAATGCAGAAAATCACGGCAAATTAGATCCAGAATAGAGCAGGCTAGAGCTGCTTTTAGAAGGATGTCTAAGGTGTTATGTAACAGGGACCTAAAATTGGCATTAAGGATCCGCCTACTTCGCTGCTACGTGTTCTCGGTCTTACTTTATGCTGTCGAGTCCTGGACTGTGAATAAAATCGATCTAAATCGCCTTGAGGCTTTCGAAATGTGGTGCTATAGAAGAATTTTAAAAGTTTCCTGGGTGGAGAAGATTCGTAACTCCACATTACTAGAACATCTCAGCAAGACTACTGAGATCATAAAAAGCATCAAGCAGAGAAAGCTGGAATATTTCGGACATGTAATGAGAGGTCCCAAATATAGATTGCTACAAAATATCATGCAAGGAAAAATAGCAGGCAAACGCAGTCCAGGATGAAGAAGAACCTCATGGTTGAAGAACTTGCGAGATTGGTATGGTGTAGATACAAGCATGCTATTTAGGGTGGCAGTAAATAAAATTAAAATAGCTATGATGGTAACCAACGTTCTGAAAGGACATGATACATGAAGAAGAAGATGCCTTTATCATTTTAAAACGCAGTGGCCATAACCTTTCCAACCAATTGAGCCAATCTTGGCGCACTTTCCCAGCTTCAATACACTTCCTTTCCTTCATCCTATTTTTCGGTGTGTAGTAGAGGATCCATTTTTCATCAACTGTTACCAATTTACACCAAAAGACTGACGGATTGCGTTTCATAAGGTCCAAGTACTGTTAAGAAGTGGTCACACGATCATGTTTTTGGTTAACGGTCAACAAACGCTGAACCCATTGACAGGATAATTATTTTATATTCAAAACTTCGTTTAAAATATGACTGGTGCAATCTTTACTAATTATTGTGAGCTCTGTTAATTCATGCACCTTTACGATTTTAATTTTTAATTTAACTTTTTTTTAACCCTTTTTCGCCTTTTAATTTAAAATCATTTCATGAACTTTCGTGACATGTCAACAACAACTGTAGATTCAGACAAATGTAGATATACGGTCACTACAAAATTCACAGAAAGTAAAATTAGTCTGAAGAAGTATTGGTCTCATATTTATCCCGACTAACGATCTTAAGGCTGTTTTATCGGTGCACCAAAATTTTTTCTCTGTTATTTACCGACGAAATGTCTCGAAATTTGGACATGTTATACGAAATTATGTTGCCTTTAAACTGATGGTTTTACTTTTTTTATTTTTTTGAATTTTCTGTTGAAAAATTGGATTATACTGTTTAACGTTCTATTATAACCAAACTTTTCACGCCCATCAGTTGAAAGAGTTTTTTTTCTGTAATCGTTGATTCTTTTTTCACCTTTCTGTGTCCAGTAATAATCGAGAAAAGCGTATTCAAACTTTGAAGAAAATTGCTAAAAATAACTGAAATCTGATAGTGAAACGTGTTCCTCATCATTGTCGCTGAGCTTAATCGTTATCGCATTAGTGACGTCAAATCTCATGAGCGTACGGTACAGTCTTATTTTTATTTCTCTATGGGTACGGTCAGTTAGTTCGCTTGAATTAGAATCCATTTTAGTTCTTTCATTCTTGTATTTTCTTTATCAACTTGCTTAGTTTTTACAATTTACAGTATTCTTATTTATTTTGAAAACATTGAAATTATGTAGTTTACGTTTATGTTAAGTAATATATTATTAGTTTAGTGGTATAAGTTAAAAGTTCTTTAGTTTACGTGTATTTTTAAGTACATATTACATTAGGTTAGTGATATAAGTTATAAAAGACAAGATAAAAAATGAGTCCCAGTAAACGTCCTATGTCAAGGAAAAGGAGAGCAATTGCACTGCTTTAGTATTTATTATTTATATTACAACCGTTTTTAAAAGCTTTTATTTAACTTATATATATATATATATATATATATATATATATATATATATATATATATATATATATATATATATCTATTCAAGGTTTGAATAATCATTCTCCATTTTCATGCAACTTTTCTAATATGGAGATTATCAAAGAAAAAATGGACGAATTGATAAGTACATTGACTTTTAAATGTCAAATGTGGAATATTGAAAAGGAGATAGCAACATAGGATTCTGGTAACAATTCACTGAACTTGAATGGTTCTGGTTATTCAGACATACAGCAGCAGCACGCTGCATTAAATATACCTGTGATTTCCTACAGGCAGTATGCAAAACATACGGAAACAGTTGCATATATAATCGGCCAAACACTTTGTGATTCCTTAGAAGAGGCTGGACGGGAGGAATTAGCTTTAGCCAAAGAAATTGGTGAAGAAGATTCCGACGGAAATGGGTTAATAACCGTTATAGCTGATGGTGCTTGGTCAAAAAGATCGTATAAAGTAAACTACGATGCTTCTTCAGGTGTAGTACCTGACGTTGTAAAATTTATAAAATTAGTACGCCTTTGATGGATAGGACATGTAATTAGGCGAGATGAAGATGAAACGATCAGAAAAATTTTCGACCGAAGAGGACCAGTGGGAAGACGATCCAGAGGAAGACCAAAACTTAGGTATCAAGATAACATAGAGGATGATCTAAAATCCATCGGAGTTAAAGCATAGAGAAAGTTGCCAGAGGCAGGGGCGAATGGAAGATTGTTCTGAAGAAGCCTTTGGCTCATGACGAGCTGTAATGCCACTGATGATGATGAAATAACTATCCACGATTTGTGTTTTATTCATCAATTGGATACTTTTCTTATGTAACTGCAACCTATAAATATATTAAAATAATGTATATTCCATTCAGAGAACATTTTCCTCGCAGTGCGTCGCCTCGAAATACTTGCCAGATAAATACATTTACTATTATGATGGTTTCGCAGGTACCAATTTTTTATAGATAAATAAAAATATTTTTTGTTTAATTTTTACTACGCTAATATCAGTTTTCTCTAACAAATATTAACAAAATATTAATTTAACAATCGTAAAATAGTTTCGAAACACAATTCAGATTTCTGCTTTTATCTGTGCTTTCTAAAAATTTCAAAGCAAAACAGACGTTGATAAAGGTGTTAAAAGGGACGTGGGGAATCTAAATCTAAATTTTAGATTCCCCACGTCCCTTTTAACACCTTTATCAACGTCTGTTTTGCTTTGCAATTTTTAGAAAGCACAGATAAAAGCAGAAATCTGAATTGTGTTTCGAAACTATTTTACGATTGTTAAATTAGATGTCGCTAGTGCGTCCGTATTCGAAGCCATGTTATTGTTGCTTCCTAAAAGACAGAAAATATTGATCTTTCACGTTGAGAACACCTTTGAATAACTGTTCTGATGAGACCTATTAGGTCGAAATACGTATCAACAGATACAAAGGCGCTGTTTGCGTGAAATCAAATATTTGCTGTTTTTTTCACTTTTTTCGGATTTACTCTGTACGAGTACAAGAAACCAATTCGCTAAGGATTTCTGCTTAGTTGAAAAGATGTGTCGTGGAATGCAAATTTTAGATTCCCCACGTCCCTTTTAACACCTTTATCAACGTCTGTTTTGCTTTGCAATTTTTAGAAAGCACAGATAAAAGCAGAAATCTGAATTGTGTTTCGAAACTATTTTACGATTGTTAAATTAGATGTCGCTAGTGCGTCCGTATTCGAAGCCATGTTATTGTTGCTTCCTAAAAGACAGAAAATATTGATCTTTCACGTTGAGAACACCTTTGAATAACTGTTCTGATGAGACCTATTAGGTCGAAATACGTATCAACAGATACAAAGGCGCTGTTTGCGTGAAATCAAATATTTGCTGTCTTTTTCACTTTCAAAATATTAATTATATATTAATATTAATATAACAAAATTTAAATTTATTATAAATAAACACCATGGTGTTTTTTGCAGTCACGTTTCACAAATTTTTATTTAATACTATGTTTAGCTAAGACATATAAATTAAAAATGTGATTAATTCTCTTTAAAACATTATCTACGATAATTAATCTAAAAAAAAGTATTCCGACAAAACTAATTTGAATGGAGAATAATGCATTTATTTTAAACAACCCGTGGGCCGGCGCCACTGAATAAACATCCAAACTATTAGGAAGTCACGTAGGGTCTGACATAGCAGTGTAGAAAAGTAAGTGATACGCCCACTTCAAATCGCAGTATGCTATAACTGCGAAAACAGCCTTAAAAAAAAAGGTCAAGAAATTGGATGAAATTGTACTCAAGAAAGAGCACAATGGACAAAAATGAGGGAGCTTTATGTCCAGCAGTGGATAAAAAGAGCTGGGTGATGATGATGAATGTTTAATTAAGATAAAAAATAATTTTTCTTTAAATGTGACATTTTTTCAAACACGTCACCTATGAAAAATATACTATTGGTTGCATCGCGATAAAATTTACCATATTTCCCTAAAAAAGGTTAGACCTTCCAGAACTAATGCTTTTTTAAAAGCACTGCTCTGATATAAAACTACTAAATTATTAAAGTTAGTGCAAATTTTTCAAGGTATATTATTACAGTACTTACCACAAGCTCTAGCAAATATCGTATACCAATTGGATCCAGCATATTGAATTGCCCTGGATATAAATAAAGCTGCATTGACTAGAAGGAATCCTAACAAAAATGCTAAATATACATAGTTATTTTTTAAATAAGGAATTGTTAAATAATACGGCCTCCAATTAATAATTTTCTTCATAACTGGTGTCCTTTTTAGCGGTTTTGGTGGTACCAACCATCGATCGATACTACAAAAAAATTGTGTTATTGGATTTATTAAAATAATTTAGGGGTATTAATTTTATATCCCAAAAAATTGTCAGTAATACAGTAATATTAAAAAAAATCTCAAATAATATTAATAAAAAGGTCTTATAGGGTGGCCCACAAGTATGGAAATGGTCAATTATATCGTAAATTGCTAGTCATAATTGTGCAAAATTTGAAATACACCTATTTTGGGATACGGAGATTGAATATTTGATATTTGTAATGTTGTCAGATTTGCCGTTTCTTTTATTAAAACCCTAACTTTTAAAACCGTAACTTTGGTTTTTCAAATTCATCACCCTATATATTCAGTCATTATTGAAATCGATTCAATTCGAGTTTAACCATATGTAACACTTATGATTTTATGTAGTGTCTGGAAGGTCTTAAATACATAAAACAGAAGTCTGGCAACGCCTAATTATCTCAATAAATTTTTTAATACTATTTTCAACTACATTAAACAGATTACAATATTTTTAACGTTATGGTTACTTTATTAAGTGTTCAAAATGGGCTCCATTTATGAGTTGACAGTACCCTAATCGATGGTAGAATGTGTCTACCACATTTCTCCATGATTGTCTAGAAATTAGACGAGATTCATCGATAATTCATTTGCTTAGGTCTGTAGGTTTACAGAGTTTTGTTTATTACCGTTTGTATTAAACGGTATATAAATTTTAAAAATATAAACTTAGTGTCAGTTCAATGAACAATTGTTCAGTGCACTTTTTGAGCCATGTTGAAAGAATTTCAATTAACCCATCATGTTCCAAATCGAAAGAAGAAAGAAAAGGTCTGTAAAAAGGCTTTCACTTCGATTTATGGGATATCAGAAGGTCGTGAAGAAGAATTTGCAGCTTGCTGTATAAGTCTTTGACCCCCCGTGATAGGCGAGGACAACATCCGACGTGGAATACCAAATCCCCTGAAGTTCATAAGCTCATTTATGATAATATTTTGTCATTTCTCAGTAAACAGGCACACTATGCAAGTAAAAAATGGAATACTTTGATGCACGCCTAGATGTCAAAACCATGCATAGTCTTTTTAAAGAAAAACGTTCAAATGTGGATGTTAAGTATAAATGCTACGCAAAATATTTTAAAGAACAGTTTTCTTTGCGTTTTGGTAGACCTTAAGTTGATACCTCTAATATGTGCGAAGAATCAAACAAAAATCAACAGCCAGTCCCTAGGAGTACATGCCAAACGTACCGCAGAAGCTGGACTAGCAGTTCATAAAAAAAGGTCCAAGAAATTTCACAACAAGATAAATTTTGTGAGAGATATTTGTGAAAATCGAGAGGATATAGTTGTTCTCGCGTTCGATTTTATGCAAAATCTTTGAGAGGAGAGATATTTTATTTGCGTCAACTATGGGTGAACTACTTCGGTATAAAAAATGTTAAAATCAAGGAATCTGTGTTTTACGTTTATCATGAAAGCCAAGTCAATAAAGGCGCTAATGAAGTTTGTTCCATGTTGTCCCAATATTTTAAAACTTTTTTTCCCGATAACGTACAAGAAGTATTTTTGTTCAGCAACAACTGTGCTGGACAAAATAAGAACGACACGATGATCCGGTTTTTGCTCTCATTGACGGATACAGGCAAATTTTCCAAAATAATCCATTACTTACCAATCCGAGGATATTTATTTTTGCCGAATGATCGAGATTTTGGGGTGCTTACTTACTTACTCCGTGGTGTTAGGTTAGGTTTACGTGGCGTTACAATCCTTCGTGGGTTTTATGCCTCCACTGTTTTCTGTCTTGAGCAACCTCCATTCAATTCTCCACGACCATAGTGCTTAGGTATCCTGCTACATTATCTCACTACCGGAGACGAGGGCCTCCGCGTGGTCTTCTTTCAGTTGGGACTTCCTCCCACACCAGTCTTACTGTTCGTTCGTCAGAATGTCTTCCGAGGTGTCCTGACCATTGAAGTCTTCTAGACTTTATTTCTTTTATGATGTTATCGTCTGGGTAAAGTTCTTCGAGCTCTTTGTTAGTTCTTATCCCTATATTTTCCTGATGCTTCATTCAGCACAGGGCCAATGATCTTCCTTACGAAGCTTGACAGAATTTATGTGCCAGACCAATATTATTCTCTTATGGCTGGAGCTGGGACAAATTCAAATTTTTCCGTTTTTGAGATGAAGACACGTCAGATATTAGATTATCGTATTTGGTGGCCAACATATCACAAGCGAAACTGCCTCTCCAATGAACGTCTAAGTTCAAAGGTACGGAAGCAACAAAAAAAATCTTCTCTCCATCGTCGTTTACGTCGTTTGAATCCGATAAGCATGCAAATTTGTGTTAACTATTTACTTAACAATAACTTAAATCAAAATTTTTATATGGAAACGAACTGCGATTTCTTAAACTTTACAACCAGAGGGGTTTTTTGTCCCAGAGAAATTTTACTATACTAGTCTTAAATGAACTGGTGTATAAGATAAATTGGTTTAAGCAATCGCAATTTTTTTTTAGATACTTTAAAAAGTATCAAATTACAAATAAATAAAATAAACATTAACAGGTTAAAATTCGTTTTTGATAGCATTTTACCTTATTGATAAATTTTCTAATAGTCCACCGTGTTTTTCTAATTGGTTTTTTAATGCCTCATACGTAATAGCGCCCCTATGGTTAGAATCGGCGTCTTCAAACATGGCCAACGTCAAATCAGCTACTTGTTCTTCACTAAATTGCATTCCATTTTCTTCCATACACGCTCTCATGACGTGTTGGAGTTCTCTTAATTGTATTAAACCGTCACCTAAAATTTTTTACAGTTATAAAGGTTATTATTTAGAAGAATTCGTTGACAAAATATTTAATTGATAATAGTTACTGCTTTGTTCTGTATTAGTTAGAAGAAACTAATCTCGATATTAAGAAAAATATCGATAAGATAATAACGTTATTGCAGAAAATGCTTCTACTTGTGCTTCTTGTCTCCTTCTTGTCAAATTATGAGTTTAATAGATTACATATTTAGATTAAATAGGCATGAATGAGTTTTTATTGATTGCTCTTTTAATATAAAGCTTCCATTAAAATATTACATAATTGAAATGATTGGGATTTATTATGATGATCTTTAAACTTTGCATTGAAAGGTTTTTTTTAATTTAATCGATTGCATATAATCTTATGTATCGTATCTAATGTATTTCTAAATGTTTGACAGCACTCTAAATGATCAAAAATGGTAATCAGATAGTAAATTATAAGTCGTTATATTGCATAGTTTACACAAGGAATTTCTTTACTCTGTAAGTATTTTTTTAGATCTAATACAAGTTTAAATCATCCGTACAGGTCATGTAATTATTTTAGACGTAATTTTGCAACTATACTGACACAATATAAAAATTAGATAATTTCTGATAGTGACAGTATTACTTCTTTATTAGAATCCTACCAAGTTTGCTAGGAATTATTTTTTAAAAATACATAGTCTTGTTTGTAGTTATACGTCCAAAATTGATTTACTTACCATCCAGATCATATACTTTAAATAAAAATCGTATTTTGTCATCTGGTGTTTGTCCAGCAAACTGGTGCATTGCATCGAGAAACTCTTGAAGTGAAATGGATCCCGAATTGTCATTATCAAATATTTGGAAAACTCTGTCTGTGAAAAATGGCTGAAAATATAAAATATAAATTTCTCTAACAATGTAACAAAACAGTACATTGCTAACTTAGTGGTTTATAATCTTGGAAAGAGATCTTTTTATTTAGTAAAATAAGAGACTTACGTTTTTTGAGACGACAATTTTTTTGAAATCATCTTTTTTAATCTCCTTTCCTTCTCCCACAGTCTGTCTAAATAATTGTTCAAGTCGATCGATGCTGCCCTTATCAAAACCAGAACGAGATCTGTAAGTGTGAAGTGGTTACGATTATTTGTAAATAGATGAACATTTGACTACAACTCACCTCGTACTCGTCACTGTACTTAAAAACTCCATTATAGCTTCAGAAGAAATGACGCCAGAGTTCTCTTCGTCTATCAGTCGAAAAAGTTTATCTACAATCTGTAAAATTAACAAATTAAAATAAAATGTGTATTACATATATAATTTTCTAAATATCTACAAATAAAAATGAATAGCAAACCTCAGTGTTAAATAAAAAAAATCAGGAAGAAAATTAAAACAAAAATAAATGAAAATAAGATAAGTATGTAAAAGTGATAACAAAAAATTTTACCTAAATAAGCGACTAAAATTAAAGAAAAGACAAAACTTCACCCTGTATTTTAGTATTGTAATGAAATGTTATTTTATAATACTTTATTATTTCTTACTACTTAAATTTGTGAGTTATTCGTGATTTTTTGAACCAAACAATTATTATTATTTAACCAAACTGCAAACAGGCGGAATAGATTTCTTCTTCTTCTCGTGCCACTCCTAGTGGAGATTGGAAATCATCATGGCTACTGCGACTTTGTTAGCAGCGCGCCTAAAAAGTTCAATCGAACTACACCCGAACCATTCACGTAGATTACGAAGCTACGATATTTTTCTTCTTCCCACACATCTTTTGTCCTTAATTTTGCCCTTAATTTTGCCCTGCATGATGTTTCTTAAAAGTTCGTACTTTTCACCTCTCACAATGTGCCCCAAGTATTCCATCTTTCTAGTTTTTATCTCATTTAGAATTTCGCATCTTTTGTCTAAAGTTTGGAGTACTTGCGTGTTAGTGACGCGGTCCATTCATGATATTCTGAGAATGCGCCTATAGCACCACATCTCGAAAGCTTCGATGTTTTTTATGGTCAACTGTTTTAGTGTCCAAGCCTCAACTCCATATAACAGGGTAGAAAAGACATAACACCGCAGCATTCGTATTCGCAACTTTATATTGATATCACGATTGCAAAATAGTTTGCGCATTCTATTAAAGACTGATCTAGCGATTTCTATTCTACATCTAATCTCTTTTGTTTGATCAGTATCGTCTGTGATCCAAGCACCTAGATATTTATAACAGGGCACACGCTCAATCGTTGTATTGTCTATTACAAGATTAGCTCTGATGTTCTTTGATTTCGTGATTACCATTAATTTAGTTTTTTTCAAATTAATTTTCAAGCCGTAACTGTTACAGTATATATTGAGACTTTGAACGAGATGTTGTAGTTCTACTAGCGTTCCCGTTAGGAGAACTGTATCGTCGGCATACCTTATATTGTTGATCGTCTCACCATTTATTATCAGACCAAGATCTTCTTCCTCGAGTGCTTGTTCACAGATAGCTTCACTATACAGATTAAATAAAAGTGGCGATAAGATACATCCCTGCCGGACTCCTCGACGGATTTGAATTTCTTCTGTTAGTCTGCCCTCAACCTTGACATTTGCTGTTTGATTCCAATATAGATTGCATATAATTCGAATATCTCGGCTGTCTATATTTTTCTTTATTAGAACTTGTCTTAGTGGTTCATGCTGTACTTTGTCAAAGGCCTTTTCGAAATCAATAAAGCAGGTGTAAATTTCTTGGTTCATGTCTAAGCATCTCTGTGAGAGAATGTTTATTGCAAACAGAGCCTCCCTTGTACCCAGCCCTTTTCTGAATCCCATCTGAGTGTTACTGATGTCTACGTCTAATTTCCTATAGATCCTATTATGGATTATTTTTAAGAACATATATAGATATAATAATAGATTTCTAATCAACAATAAATAGACACGAAGAGTAGTAGAAATAACTACATCTAGGATAGAGTAGCTAGCTTAACCTTACAACTATCAAAGAGAAAGGAAAAAGTCATGGGAAAATATAGAGTCGGTTAGAAAAATGAAAGGGGAGAAAGACTGGTTCAGTTTGCACACTACCAAAATATGTTTGTTGAAAGAAACAATCGAACAGAAAATGGACACAAGTAGCACCAGATGATCCACTAAGAACAAAATTTACTTTATTGCTACCAAGATTGCTAACAAGATTGGTACAATAAAAGATGTCAGTGTTATAAATAAATTTCAAACATATAGTACTATAGTACCAGAGCAAAAATTGTTTTAGATCTGAAACTAGAAAGAATAAAATTTAATGTACAACTAGCTGGAGGATGTCCAAGATGTAATAATAAACAACACTGCACCTAAGTCAGTAAACGAGTATATATACCTGAAACAATTAATACTGCAAATCAACATTAGAATGAAACTCGCTTAGGCATATTTTGGTAGAAATAAAAGCATTCGATCAGTGTATAGTACCAATCATGACATACGGCTGCGAAATTTGGATACTACAGAAATAAATACTCGAATACGAACAGCCAATCAAAGATCAATGAAGAGATGCGTGCTAGGTATAACAAAGAAAGATCAAAAAGAATAAAATGGATCATACAGAAAACCAAGCGAGACGTAGCAGACCAGACATTTAACGAAACTGTATCGAAACAGATAATTTAGTTAAATAAAAGTGAGACAATAACTAAATAAATTTATAAAATAGTGTGCTACATAAAGAAATATTTTAAAATATAACTTACCCCCTTTGTTAAAAATATCAAATAAAACTGTTCTAAGTATATAGGTTTCTCTCCACATAAACAGTAGGCTACACTTTCCAATTGTTCTGCAAAATCGATCTGTGTTTCATTGCTGCAAAAACAAATATCGTTAGTATACCTAGGTATTGAGGACTGTTTAAGAACTAGTTTTTGCTAATTATTATAAATTTATTGTGGTATTATTTCAAAATGTAAAAGAGTCACAGGTTGCCAAATTCATATATACACTTCTGTCAGAGAATTCATAAGATTGTAGGAAATCATTCAATGCCTCTAGAAGTTATTTAAACAAAGTAGAGAACATTTAGTAAAAAATAAAAATTTGTACTAAAATAGTCATAGGCGTAGTCAGTTTTTTTTAGTCTGGGTTTCAATGGTGAATAACGCACCCTACTAAGGCAATAATCATAAAAAACTATCTTTGTACGTTTTTATGACTAAACAGTTTACTTAGAGTTATTCTCAAAAAGTCGTTTAAAAACATGGCTTTTTGACCTGTAATTTGTAAGCTTTCATTCACGAATAATTCCAAAAATATTAACTTTTCGAAAGAACTCTTCTTCTTCGTGCGACTAGGATTACTCCTGTTTGTCTGCCTATTATTTTGTTTCAGTCATTGTTGACTGTACATTATCTTTCCACCTTTTTGGCGGTTTTCCAATGGGTCTTCTACTATACGGTTTGCTGTTTTTACAGATGTTCTCTAATCTATCTGGCCCCATTCGGTTTACATGTTCGTTCCAGTTTTTTTTTCTTATTTTTATATTAAGGGTAATTACAAAAATCAAGGTAATTTCTGTATGGAGGGTGAACCTCAGGTACTTTCTAACAAAATAAATCAATTTATGGCAAATCCAGCGCCAGAAGCTGTAATCAAAATGAAGCATGTAAAAAATTTTCAAATTAATATCGAACAAACTAATCATTGTATGTTGTTAACTCACGTTTCAGAGAAAGAAGTAAGTCACATAATAAATAACTAAAAAACAAGCATAGCTCTGATTATGATGAAATATCAACCAACTTAATTAAATATGTTTCATCAGAGATTTCTCTTCCTCTATCTTTTATAGTGAATGCTTCTTTCAGGCAAGGTAAATTTCCTCAAAGTTTAAAACTGGCAATTGTCAAGCCACTACATAAAAAGATGATGTTATTAAGATGGAGAACTATAGAGCAATAAGCCTTATGGATATGTATGCCAATAAGTGTGATGGGCGAAAACGATCTGAAAATTTAAAAATCCATTTTGGGTAATTTTAAAAATTTTAATAAAAATTTTGCAAAGGTAGTTTTTACTTAGGGATAAGCCCTGACACCAAAACTAAGAACGAGATCGACTACATATTATCAACACAAAATACGTAGTCAAGGATGTCACAGTGCTAAACCGTTTCACAACAGGCAGCGATCACCGAATGGTGAAGGCTAAGGTACAAATTAACAGCCAATTTGAAACCAGATAGAAAATCAAAAACGTACAAAAACTAGATATGGAAAAACTTAGCCAAAATGAAGAAAAGTACAAAGAAGAAATAAAAAAAATGCATCCCAAATACAACCGACTTAATAAATGAAGAAACAAACGAAATAAATGAAATACTAACAACTTTATTGCTACAGGCCGGAAAAAGAATTGCAAAATCGACGTCAAAAAAGGACAATTATATCTCAGAAGAAGTAGAAAACCTGATGAAGACAAGAAGAAGCCTACTTGAACAGGGCAAAAGAAACACAGTAGATTATACTGAAATCAATAAAATAATTAGAAAAAACATAAAATAAACCAAGAGAAAAACGCAGGAAGCAAAGATTGAAAGAGTAATCCAGCAGAACAAAAATATGAAATGCTTAAAACAAAGACTCGGTAAAACTCAGATAAATGAAATGAGAAATAGCGAAGGAACAACCATTAATGATATGAAACAAATAATAAAGTTGACACAAGAATACTATACGCAGCTATACAGAACAAGACATAAACCACAGCAAGAAATTCTTAAACAATTCAACACAAAAATAAAGAATATAAACTCTGACCTACAACCAGAAATAAGTAAAACAGAAATCAAGAAAGCAATTCAAGAATTAAAAAACCATAAGTCACCTGGAAAAAATGGAATAACTGCAGAGATGCTGAAGAGAGGAGGGAAAACAACTAGAGAAGTCCTACATATCCTCATGAACAAAATATTGACCACAAAAGAAATACCCGATAGCTGGAACGATGAGGAGACACTATTAATGTTCAAGAAAGGTGACCGAAAGAAAAACTACAGACCTATAACATTACTAAGTGTTGTATTTAAACTACTAACGAAGATTATGACAAATAGACTAACAACCAAGCTTGACGAATACCAAGCAAGAGAACAAGCGGGATTCAGAAAGGGTTTTAGTACTAGCGACCATCTGATAACAATAAAAATACTGATTGAAAAGTCGAACGAGTATCAAATCCCATTATACATGGCATTCATAGACTTCCGAAAGGCGTTTGACAGCATAGAACATTGGCCATCAAAAACTCACTACAGAACGGCAGAATTGATTACAGGTACACGGACCTAATAACAAACATATACAAAAATGCGAGTACCACAATAAAATTGACGAACGAACACGCTACAGAACCAATAAAATTCGAAAGAGGAATCAGGCAGGGAGACACAATATCACCAAAATTGTTCAATCAGGCTATGGAAGACATATTTAAAAAATTAGAATGGGATACATACGGAATAAGAATAAATGGAGAGCTCTTGAACCACTTGAGATATGCAGACGATATAGTCCTGATAACAGATAAGAAGGAAGAGTTACAGAAGATGGTTGAGGAACTAGATAGAAAAGCGACAGAGGTAGGTCTAGAGATGAACTATAGTAAAACCAAGACTATGACAAACCAAGAAGACCAATTAGAAATAGTAGTCAAACAGAATAAATTAGAGCAGGTGGCAGAATACATATACCTAGGACAGATAATAAAGCTGAACAGGGACAATCAAACAGAAGAAATAAAAAGAAGAACTAGACTAGCATGGGCCTCATTTGGTAAACTATCATATATTCTAAAAAATAAAAAGTTCCCTCAATATATGCGAACGAAAGTATTCAATCAGTGCATTTTACCAGTTATCACATATGGCTCACAAACATGGACTTTCACAAAGGAGAACATCGACAGGATATCCAAAACACAAAGAGCAATGGAAAGACAGATGCTGGGTATCGGTCTTAAAGACAGGAAAAGAAACTCATGGATCAGAGAAAAAACAAAGGTGAACGATGTATCAAGACAGGTTGCAAAACTTAAATGGAACTTCGCCGGTCACACTCTCCGGCAAAAAGATGAAAGATGGAATAAGCGAATTCTACACTGGAGACCATGGGAAAAGAAAAGAAAAAGAGGAAGACCACAGATGAGATGGACTGACGACCTTAAGAGAACGGCAGGAAAGGACTGGATGCAGATCGCCCAAAATAGAGACCAATGGAGATTAACAGGGGAGGCCTATGCCCAAGAGTGGGCGTTTAAGGCTGATTAGATAGATAGAATAGAGTTTTTACTTCACTGTAAGTTTTTTTAAAACTGTAGTATGCAGCCAAACACTGGGAATTTCCTTTTTAAATTTTATTTTGTTATTTATTTAATCTGCAGTTGCATCAATAGATTTTTCTCAAACACTTTTATTTATTAACGATACTTGACCATCGTGGCACCTTTCTATTGATTATCAAATTGGCTACGCTACCAGACCATAATATTAAATTAGAATTGGTTACGGTAATTAGTTAAAACTGACCACCGAAGAATATATTTTTATTAAATCTGACAAATTTGGTGCTCAATTATCTTGACTTTTATGAATAATTTGTGTATAATAATATCGTGGATAACATGGATTAAAGTTACTTTGCATGTATAATTAATTTAAAAAATCAATCTTATCTACCCGTTTATTAATATTCCCATTTCATCTATATCCCTGCTCTTATCATTATTAATGGTGTTTAGCAGTAAAAGTATCACTTACATTAATCTTTGCTTCAAGAATTCTATCCAATCTTCTTGGGCTAAGCACTGGTCCCGGTCTTGATCGAATAACTTGAACAATTGCTCCAAAAGTTCCTGCAAAAAAATTGTTCATTAATAATTATAATATAATGTTATAAAATAAATGTGTGTATATAATAAAAATCTTAGTGTTGTCTTGCGAGTTTACTATATTTTGAAGTAATTCATTTGAAGAACAAATTATATTATATTGATATATAAATTGATATAAAATTTAATAAATTGATATTTATGTGTATCAAATCTTCAAAAATAACATAAAAGCCATATAATGCTTATAATAATATTTAAAGATCTTATATTTTAAAATATATAATCATCATTATCATCTGTCAATCTCTTGTATCCACTGTTGGACATAGGTTGTCTCTATCCGCTTTCGCTATGCTGTATCCTGTGCTTTTTGAATCTAATTTCCTTTTGTTTCACGTAAGTCTCTTGTCTCGTATCTCTTGTTTTGTGTAGGCTTTAATTTAATGAGTCTCGACATATTATTATTTAAACGTGGCCATATATGTCCAGCGCACTGTTTCCATATAATCTGTCGTTTTAGTTCTCTCTCTTTCTATCTTGTTTGGTATTACATATCTACTTGTTAGCCCATCATTGTGTTTTTTTAGTTGTTTTTTGAGTTACTCTTAATTAACTGGCAGAATTTTTAGTCATTGTTAATACTTTGGAACTATAAGTTATTACCGGCAGAGTAAATTGGTTGTAAAGTTTTTTCTTTAAGCAAATTGGTAGTGTTCTATTAAGAATATGTCGCATCTTACCAAATGTTGCCAATTCCAAACATACATGACACTGAATCTTACAGCTTTGATTGTCATTTCCTATTCTATTTCATGTTCCAAGTAAATATAGCTAAAAACCTATTTTCATAACATCACTTGGAATTAATTTAATCTTTTTTAAGTTTATATGTAGACCTACTTTTTCTATTGTCTGTTTTACTTCTTTTCTCTCTAGTACCATTTTGTAACCTTTATTTTAATTCTCCACTATAATGAAAATATCTTTTGCAAAGCGCAAGCGATATTCTAATCTAATCATCGATGGGTTATTCTGATTCCCTTGGAAGCCCGAAATGCTTTTAATATACTGTAGTGGGGTCACGTAATGAGCTCTTTGGAAGCAAGGAACTATCTTGGGCATCTGAGAAACGTGGTCGCTAATTATCTTTCCGAGAGAAAGATTGTGGTGGAGAATGGTGTGATGGTGGATGTAACGGCTGAGGTCACGCAGAGCTCCATCTTGTTTCCGACGCTGTGCAATCTGGCATATGACGGGTTCTTAAACTGCGAATATGGGGAGGGTGTTACCCCCCTCGTATTTGCGGACGACCTTGCTGTGCTGGTGGCGGTACGGGACAGGGAGGAACTCTTGCTTCGAATTAGGCGTGCGTGTGGCCTCGTTGAGGATTGGATAAGCGAGCATGATCTTTCTCTCGCGGAGGATAAGACGGAGACTGTAGTACTTAGCGGCTGCAAAGAGAGACAGTGTTGTATTTGAGTGCGCGGGAGCGAGAGTGATGCCCAAAAAGTACGTCAAGTATCTATGAGTTAGTCTCCATCAGGTTGGGAGTTAGGGAATCATTTGAGGGGGTTGACCCGCGGAGCTACTTAAAGAATGGCTGCACTGGGAAGGATAATTCCCAATATCGGTGGAGGGATATCAAATCTGAAAGGAGAAGGGAGTTTCACGGTGTTGTGCAGTTTGCCACCCTCTACGCAGCCTCAGTCTTGAGTGGGGCGGTAGAACTATTGTGGCTCATGGTAAGCGTCGACAAAACTAGTTTACTGCGGGTAGCCTGTGTCTACAGAAAGACTGTGTCAGCTGTCGCTTTGTGGTGATCACCGGCTGTGTTCCTTAACATGTGCTGGCAGGTGAAAGGGCTAGGATTCATAGTAGTAGGGAGGCGGAACATTGGAGACCGAGAGATGACTGAGGCCTGGCCGAGAGATTAGTTTCAGTCGGTCAGAGTCAGCAAGAATGAAAGACAACACGTGATTTTCCGAAGTTAACAAAGTCACTAATCTCGAACCTTTGAAGCTGGGTGAACTGTGGGGATAGGCAACTGAATTATAATCCGACGCAAATGCTCACAGACCACGGCTACTTCCGCAGCTACGTTTTTAGGTTTAGGAGGGCACAGTCCGATCAGTGCATTTACTGTGGCCTCTCGGATACCGTGACGCACGCAATTTTGGAGTGTGAGCGTTGGGTGGATGAAAGATAGAAGTTTAAAAGAGAATGTAACTGCAAAATGTTACTTCGTGAGAGAAATGGTGGAGAAAATGATGAGGGATGAGTGCTAGTGGACATGGATTAACAAATTTATCAGTGAGCTGCTGTCTTCAAAAGAACGAGAAGAGAGGGAACAGAATTTTAAACCTAGCGAGTAGCGCCTCGGTGGGTTCGAACTGTCGCAGTTGAAATAGAAGAGAATTAGATACAGACGACGTGTGAGAGGTGGCAGCTTAACTAAGTCAGTGGGTTGAAAGTCTTTGGTGCTTCGTGTGGGTGTGGTTTTCTCGATTAATGCGTGGGAGAAAGAATAGGAATCGGGTGATAGCAGCACATCAGAAGAAATGTTTTGCCTTAACCAGCCCTTCCATCTTGATGTCTGGAGTGTGAGAGGAGAGTCACCACTTCGTCTCGGTTTGGTGACGGGACGAAATGTCAAAGGTCTAACACCCCTCAGGCATCTTGTCTTGGCACAACTTTCTTAGGATATAAGGAACCCAACAATACCTGGGTGAGGCACAGGTGTGTGTATGTAGACTTTTCTTCTTTTTTTTTTAAAGATGTAAAAAGATCTGTGCAGTAAAAGAAGTGATAGTAGTTTAAATTTTTTTCTGTCGTAGTTTCCTCGTGTGAGAATACTAAATTGTTATAGTAATTGTAAAGTTTTACTTTATGCCTTGTATTTGTGATTTTTTGCATCTCCTTATCTCTCTGAATATTATCTTTTTGTCCTCTTCTCCTGTATATGAATTTTCCTAGTACTAATCGGTGGTTACTTGCACATTCTGCTTATCTGTATAAGGTTTCATTTTGTTTTATTGTTTTGTTGGCTTTTCTAACTATTATTAAATTAATAGTTGACCTTTGGCTTCTACTAGGTTTCTTCCATGTGTATCTATGTATCTTATTATTTTGAAATGTTGTGTTGGTTATGACCAACTCTGTTTCTAGACATATTTCAATTAGCCGACTGTCTTCTCCGAATCCTCCCACTATATCTGCGTCTTCCGTTCCTATGTGAGTATTGAAATCTTCAATTAGAAGGTCATCAATCAAAGCAATTTAAATCTGCAATAAAAATTGCGCTTTCCTATTCAAGATGTTAAGTTTCTCAGCCTTACCCCCGTGAGTAAGGGTTTGATGTCATACCATGGCATCATGACAATATATGATGACAAAAATAATAAACACGTTTAAGCTTGACGATGCGATGTAAATTTCCCGAAATATTCGACGGTTTCGCTTTTTTGGCACACCCGGTATATCTATAAAAACGTCTCCAAGAGGCAACACACACTACAGTACAATTTTAGGACAATATGTTAACATGGGGTAAATCGTTTGTTGAAATTTAGTATAATGCCTAAAGCGAGAGTGATTACACTTCAGGATTCCTCTATATGAACTTGAGATATTCAAATTTAAGCGATATAATCTATAAGTCTAGAACTATCGAGTCACTGGTGACATTTAAACCACAATTAAACCGCCTCTGTGGCTCAGTGGTAAAAGCGCCTACCTTTAAACCTAAAGGTCGTGAGTTCGAATCTCATCTGGGTGGAGAAATTTTCGTTTATTAAAAAATTAATGAATGAAAATTATTTCTATCCTTGTGCGATCGGTATTCGCCGGAGGGACCGCAGACGTTCGGATACAATTAGCGTCTCTTAGCAAAGACAATGACGTCGACTTTGCTAAGTAACAAGACAATTACTCTACACACACACACTACACTAGGTACCTGACTGTACCATGCCAATGATCTTAGTTGTCGAGGCATTAACTCAATAATAAAAAAAACACAATAAGATACCAAACATAGCCGTGAAACAAAAGTATTTTTATTGAAAACGGAAACAGATTTAAGCATATCCTTTATGAACAACTCTAATAGATTATTAAGTTTTAATTAAATTACTAGTATAGAGAAATATAATTAACACAAACTAGATCATATGAGTATGTTTACAAAGAATTTCTGCTTTTTATGCAGATATTTAACCTAAATATACCACTAAGGTTGTTCGTGTAACTATCCCATATATTAAGCTTTGCATTGCTTTTAATGTATATATAAGAGCCATAATAAATTGCTATTTATTGAATGTTACAAGGCCTCAATCGTAGGCGTAACACATCTTTAACCTGTTTTATACTTTACGAGTCTATCGGTCCTCATTCAACTTTTCCATAAATCCTTGTTTGCACTGTTAGTAACATTTTGCCGTAATAACTCTTCGGCGTTATTTACTAATGGTAAAGTACATTCTAGCGAAGATCGTTGAGATTTCTATAATCCACTCAAAATGAATTTACACTAAATTTTTGTATTAAATGCATTTATAGATTTTATGTAGGTTTGATAAGTTGACATTAATTACCGCTGAATTTAACCTTTAAGACATGGGATATAAGGCGAATTAATTTGTTTGTTTATATACTTTTGGTACCTAAAGGAGGTGAATGAAATATATCGCACCCTCAGTGCAAGACTGTAGTAACTCAAAATTTTATGAAATTGAAATAATCATGGAATTCGATTGTAAACATGCATATCTATCCCCTGTAAAACTTTAGTAACTTTCAAGTGCTTAACCGGATAAATATTAAAACAACAACAGCTTAACTATTTTGCGTTTTTGTACATAAGTTCCGTGCAAAACTGTTGTAATTCTAATGTAACAGAGTTACAACAGTTTTGCACGGAATATTACAATGGTTTCGATAACAAGCAATGAAAGGCACGAAAAAAGTAAGATATTTGTTATTTTAATATCTAGATCTGTGGTATTTAATTTTAATATACA